TTGCTAGGGACTTGCCCGGCACTTGCTCTCTACCTCTATTTGTTATCTTACTTCTATCATTGACAGTCCCTCTAGGTTGTGGGCTGCTTGCCTGTGTTCCTGAGAAGCATCTACGGTACCAGTCTATAGAGTGTGTTTTCTTTAGTGAATTACCGGTATGTTTACCGGTAATAAACTTGCACTGTTTTATGTATATGTTTGATTACATACAGCCTTGTGACAGTTTTCCTGCATGTCATAAGCATTTGAATATAAATTAAAATGTTAAAATCAAATCTGATATTGTTTTACCTTTTATTTGGTGTGTGGAAGGTGTGCGGAAGAGGGGGTAGTCTTATACGGCGAGTATATAACAAACTCTGTATTTTGAGTGGAAATGTTAGGGGGTCGTCTTATACGCCCAGTCGTCTTATACGCCGGCAAATACGGTAGGTCAAATGGGAGTTCCATTTTTAGTTTTTTGAGGAAACTCCATACTGTCTTCCATAGTGGCTGCACCAGTCTGCATTCCCACCAGCAGTGCACGAGTGTTCCTTTTTCTCCACATCCTCTCCAGCATTTGTCGTTTATCTTTTATTTCTTATTTGACCCAGTCATTTTTGTTAGTATGTTGTTTAAGCTCCATGTATTTGTGGGTTTCTTTACTCCATTTTGCCCTTGATTTCTAATTTCAAGACATTGCCATCAGAGAATATGCTTGGTATAATTTCAGTCTTCTTGAATTTATTGATACTAGTTTTGTGACCTAATATATGGTCTATTCTTAAGAATGCTCTATGTGCACTTGGGATGAAAGGTTCTGTAAATGTCAGTTATGTCCATTTGGTCTAGTGTTTCACTTAAGGCCAATATTTCTTTATTTGATCTTTCTAGAGCTGTAAAGGAGTATTGAGATCCCCAACTATGATTGTGTTTTGACCTGTTTCTCCCTTTACTTCTGTGAGTAGTTATTTTATATATTTCAGTGCTCCCTGGTTGGATGCATATATATTAAGAAGTGTTATGCTTTCTTGATGTAGTGTCTCTTTTATCACTATAAAGTGTCCATCTTTGTCTCTTATTATCTTTAAATCTATTTTGTCAGACATAAGTATGGCTACATGTGCTTTCTGTGGATGTTATTTGCTTGGAGAATCATTTTTCACCCTTGTACTTTGAATCTACCAGCTGAGCCGAGAGTTCCCTGCTGCAGGGCTGCATCTGCGGGCCGGGTGCACTTTCCTCCCTTCTCATCTCCCCATTTATTCCCGGATGCCCATCTTTGATGTTTCAATGTGCAGGTCTCTCAGGTGTGTGTCTGTGTTAAGTAGGGATTTCTTTGTTGAATTATAGTTGGTTAACTTGTTGAAATTTCAGGGGGAGAGGACAAAGTGTGCTCTCACGCCGCCATTCCTCTGACATCACTCAACATGAGAGCCTTATATATTCTTTTGTTTTAAAATTTCTAACTTAACTTCTAGTATGACAAATATGGGTGGATATAACCACATTAGTAAAGCTCTATGGAAGTATGCAATAACCTTTCATAGTATGAAGGGGAGGCTAACAGTTGCTTTCAGGATGTGGACTTTGGTGATTTCGCAGTGTAAATACTGAATGCATGACAACTGTGCTGCAGAAGAATGTTTTGCTTTAGAGAGAATCTGGCAAGCCTTTTCTTCATTTCTGAGTGTTCTCTATTAACATGGCATGTGTCCTGTTGCTTTCATTGATAAATCTAAGTGCTTGGTATTGTTGTTACTGAACCAATAACAAAAGAAAATGTCTAATATTGAGAAAGGCTATTTAAAATTTCCAAGGTCATCCTCATAGCAGAAAATAATCTTTTTTATTAATGACTGCAGTATGTATCCTATAAGGTTTTGCTCTTCTGACTAGCATCTAGAAATATATATTTATTACGTTTAACAATATTTGGAAACACATAGGTTCCCTCTTCCCACGAATTGCAGTCTAAAAATGCTACCAATGCTAAAATTGGCTTAGGGGGGAAACAAAAGAAAAATGTAATTTCACACCTGGTTTGCATATAAATGCCAGGCCACAGAAGTGTCATTTTTACATAGCCAATGGTGACTTTTTTCCACGTTTGTAGCCTTCACCTCACTTTGTAAAACATAGGGGTTCATTCAACACATATCTAAGTTATTGCCCTGCTTGCCTGAAGGGTTAGCCTAGGATGGAGACCAGGACCTGGAGATTGCTTGTCCTTTGGCTTTGAGATCCACAGAAAGCTAGAAGTACAAGTTCTGTATTAAATGTTAAGGACTTAAATTCTTTTAGTTTTGACTATTGAACTGTTTTAGCTGCATTACTATGTATTTATGGATTACGTAAATCACAACTGAGTTGTACATAGTAAATACTCAGCGAAGAGCTATCGGGCCTGTAAATACAAAGAACGCGCCTGCCATCTCCTCCCCCCCTAATCAATAATCAATCAGCATTCTTTGTCACAGAGCCTTAGAAACCTCAGCACAAGTAACATCAAGAAGAACCACATGCAGATGAAAATGTATTTTCCACCTTGGGCTTCTGCCATACTACCGATCTAATTTTACCAGTAGAGGCAGCTTTTAATTTTCATATATTTAGAAATAATTAAGATGGAAAAGGTAGAGTAGCAATACAAGTTATTGCTTAAATGTATCCACTATTTCTTCAAGAAAAAAAAAATCAAGTGAACTGGAAAAATGAAATTGCATTTCTAAGTTTTCAGTGTTTTGTTTGTACAAACTAGCAAATGGAGTGGGTCTTTCACTTCCAGGTTCAAGTGTCCTGGTGTCTGGACAGTTCCTAGAGAGCTAAGTGGTGTCTGGAGCTCTTGTCAGGATGGGAAATTGAACAAATCCAAATGTCCTGACCTTTAGGTTTATTCCTGTGACCTAATGGAAAAAGTGTGATGCTTTGGAAGAAAGGACTCAAATGCATATTCTGATCACCCTTAATCAGAAGATTGCATGAAAGGACCAAACAGTCCTTGGCAGACAGCCATTTGCCTTCAGAAAAATCTTACTATTAAAACACTTTCCTTCCCATTCTGATTATTTCTTTTTTATTGCTCATGAGAATAAAATAGCTACATCCTTTTCACGGGCCATTGAATAAAATAAGCTTCTCAACTCTTTTCAGTTGTGTTTCAGACTGTCAGACAAGGCAGTGTTAAAGCCCAATACTACAGAACTCATGCCGAGCTTGCTCTGCCCTACCATGTAGGCTGCTAAAATCCTTGGCATTGGTATACACATCAATTTGGAGTCTTCCTTTAATTTTGTTTGTGTCCTGGGCAGTATTGACCAAAGACCTGGCACACAGAGACAGGGTATATAACACATGGTCTAGCATATATTCTAACTTAGTGCTTCTCAAACTTTAATGTGTATACAGATTACCAGGGAATCCTGCTAACTTACAGATTCTGACCTGCTAAGTCTGGGGCAAGGCCAAGAGTCTACAGTTCTAACAAGCTTCTCTGTGACGCTATACAGCTGGTCTGCAGATCACACTTCAGCACAAAGTGCTTTTTACTTCTCTGTACTTAAACTGCCCAATTGGTTTTGTTTTCACTCTAACAAGGTGACAAAGACTTCAGGCTTGAGACCAATGGAACCAAGAGATGTCAAAGCAGTTCGAGAATTAACCAACAGTTACCTGAAGCAGTTTCACCTTGCCCCGGTGATGGATGAAGAGGAAGTAGCCCACTGGTTCCTCCCCCAGGAGCACATTATTGACACGTTTGTAGTGGAGGTAAAGATAAGGTGATATGATGGGTCAGAGAAATAGGAAGACACTATATGCCACAGTCCGTTTTCCAGAAAGATCACACCGTGCCATCTTTCCTCTTCCTCCATGACTTGCCGCTTCTATACCAGATTTCTGTTCACCCTGCTAGAACCAGGTTTTCTTCATACAGTTTCCATTACTAGATAAAAGCACACTTTTACTACTTATGATTTGGAAATCACTATACTTTTCTGTTGCTACCTGTGTAATTAATTGCTTTTCTCATTTTGCAAAAAAAGCCCATTTGGATGATCTCCTTTGTGATAGATACATTCCAAAGTTTAATATTCCTTTGGTTTTGCAAAATTGGAACTGAACTGCATTTGGTTAAGATTAAGCCACTTAATCCAAATGAAGGAAGGAAAAGTAACAGTTTAGATTTTCTAATTATTGTTTAGATGAGTTTAACAGTGATTTTTAAACCATGTTTTCAAAAGCTTAGAATTGGTTGTGCAAATGCTACTTTGCTTAAAAGCTCTTTTGGTGGAAGTAAGGTGAAGTTGAGAAGTTGGGATTTAAACTGGTGAGTACCTGGAGGATAGAAAGGAGCGAGGAGATACTGTAGCAGTCCATTCACTGTTGTGAGAATTGAGCTGAAAGTGTATTTTCAGCATTGTCAGGCATTGTTTGAATGTAAAGTTACGGCCAAGTTAGGGCAGTCATGGTAGGAGCAGACAGAGTGAATTCAGAGGACATTTCTGAAAAACAGTTGAGCAGTCTTTGTTTTTAAACTTTTATTTCTGAAACAGTGCTGGGGTGGATATCTTTGTGTACAAATCTTTATGCACTTCTGTAAGTTTCTCCAGAGCAGCAGTTCTCAAAGTTTTTTTAATCTCAGGACTCCTTTACTCTTTTAAGAATTATTGAGCTTTTTATTTTTGTGGATTATATCTACAGATATATACGGTATTCAAAAGTAAAACAAATTTTAAATATTATTTTGTAAGTCAGACAAAGCCAAATACCATATAATGTCACTTATACAGGGAATCTTTAAAAACAAAACAATCTCATAGGCACAGATAACAGATTGTTGGTTGTCAGAGATGGGAAGAGGAGAATGGATGAAGGTGGTTAACGGTATAAACTTCCAGTTATAAAATAAGTGAGTCCTGGGGATGTAATGTGCAGCATAGTAACTATAGTTAATGATACTGTATTGTATATTTGGAAGTTGCTAAGAGAGTAGATCTTAACAGTTCTCATCACAAGAAAAAAAAACTTGTAACTATGTGAGGTGATGGATATTAAGTAGACATTGTAGTGATCATTTCATAATATGCACATAAATCATATTGTTCATATTAAATTAATGAATGTTATACATCAGTTATATCTCAGTTAAAAAAGAAAAACAAGAAATAATTGGAAAAAACATATATTATTTAATAACCATATAACAATAGTAAACCCATTACATTTTACCTAAATGACATATTTTGTATGACAAATAACTTTTCCAAAGTAACAAAATTAGTGAAAAGAATGGTATTGTATTATATTATTGCAAGTCTCTTCTTAAATGTCTGACTTAATAGAAGACAACTGGGTTCTCACATCTTCTGCATTCAGTTTATTGTGATATATTGATTCAATATTTTGATTGAAGTATATAAAAAAAATCCTTCACACAGAGTATTGGAAATATGAAAAAAATGAGTATTTTAATAACCTTTTCAGATAATTGTGGATATTATGTATCTCAAATCATGTTAATGAACTTTTGATACTGTTAGATTAAAATCCATTGGTCTTTCTTGTTTTTTTGTTGTTAATCTTCACCTGAGGATATTTTTTCCCTTGAATTTTTTTTTTTTTAAGCTAGAGTGGAAGGGAGAGAGGGAGTGAGAGAGAGAGCAAGAAAGAGAGAGAAACATCGATATGAGAGAGATACAATGATTGGTTACCTCCTGCATGTTCCCCTGCTGGGGATCTAACCTGCAACCCAGGTACATGCCCTTGAACAGGAATTGAACCCTCAACCCTGCAGTGCACAGGCCAGTGCTCTAACCACTGATCCATGATGATGAGGGCAGTTCTAGTAGTTTTTTGGTGGAATCTGTAGGGTCCTCATGTACAGTATCATGTCATGTGCAAATAATGACAGTTTTATTTCTTCCTTTTCTATTTGGATGCCTTTTATTTCTTCTTCCTGTCTGGTTGTTGTGGCTAGGACTTTAAGAGTAGTAAAAGGAGATATCCCTGTCTAGTTCCTCATCGAAAGGGAAACGCTTTATTTTTGACCATGGTGCTGTCTGTGGGTTTGTGATATATGGCCTTTATTATGTTGAGGTGCGTTGACTCTATTCCCACTTTGCTGAGTTTTTATCACAAATGGGTGCTGGATTTGATCAAATGATTTTTATACATCTATTGATATGATCATGTCATTTTAATCATTCGTTTTGTTTATGTAGTATGTATTAGGTTAATTGATTTGTGGATATTGTACCAACTTTGCATCCCCGGAATAAATCCCACTTGATCATGGTGTATGATCTTTTTAATGTACTGCTGGATACGGTTTGCTGATGTTTTGTTGAGGATTTACGCATCTATGTTCTTTCTTTGTAGTGTCTATCTGGCTTTGGAATTAAGTTAATGCTGGCCTCATAAAGTTAGCTTGGGAGTCTTCCTTCTTCTTGAATTTTTTGGATTTGTTTGAGAAGAATAGGACTTAGTTCTTCTTTGAATGTTTGGTAAAACTTACCTGTGAGGCCATCCAGTCCAGGACTTTCATTTGTTGGAAGTTTTTTTTTTTTTTTAAATGTATTTTTTATTGATTAAGATATTACATATGTGTCCCTGTCCCCACATCACCCTCCACCACCACCCCCACCCCCCCGTTGTCCGTGTCCATTGGTTAGGCCTCTATGCCTGCATGTAAGTCCTTTGGTTGCTCTTTCCCCTTTACCCTCCCCTCCCCCACCCTC